TAAAGAGTATTCAGAGAAGACCTTGTGGATTCTCATTGAACACCGTAATATTTTCTTCCTACCACCCCTATTCTTCATATATATATAAATGAGTTGTGGAAAATGTATTCTTCGCCAGGCTTGCTACCAGACTTAAGGAGTACATCTCACAGGAACAATCTTGTGATTACTTGATCAATAAGGTTTCTGGCTGGATATGTAAGGATCACTAGCCTCGGAGAAGAGAATAAGCTACTAGAGAGGTCCAATCTGGACTCCTGGTATGCGTGCATACGCGGGGAGGGTATTACGGCCTGCTCAGACGTCCTCACTGGCTACCTACAAGGCCAGGATTAAACCTGACACGACTCGTAATTATCAGCTTTCACGTGCATAGTTAATGTTTTAAGTATGTATGTGGGTTCTTGCTAATTCTTATCCATCCATATCCTCGGGGAACACGCCCCAGCTCTCGTGCCCCGGCTCATGGTTATCGGTCATCCGGTGTAGTTACTTTCCAAATCTCTTGAAGCTATGAATGGAGTGCTACCTGCTTGATTGGGTTCCGGGAGTTCTACTCCCCCAAGCCCGGCCTCGGGTTCCATGCTGGTGCAACGTATTCAAGTACAAGTCTCACGTAGATAGCGTATATGTTCTAAATGCTCCTCCATTCTGATTCTTGAAGGCTGTTCCTACATTTGCCAACTCCGCACATGCTGGTGCGACGCAATACATGCGAGGGGATCTTAGTTAAACATCTTTGAGTCAAGCGAGCAGCTAAATAGGTGCCCGGGCATACATCTTGTTCTGAGGCGGGGAGGGGTGGTAGGAGGGGGGGGGTTGTGTATACCCTAAGAGACTGTCTCTCCCCAAGTATGAACAATCACATGCAATTGATTTATGAAGATTAGGCCACCCAGGAGGTGGCACGGGCATGAATAGCCCGTAAGATCACATACGACTTTGGAGATGGACAATAAGGACTGCAAGGTCCTCTGGTCCTAGGAGCTGCCTCCTCTACAGTCCACTAGCATCTAAAACCTGAGCTGGAGCACAGTTATGACGCCATAGTGACATGACGCACCTTGTCTATACTACTGTAAAACAACATTTTAAAACCTTTTTTTTTGGTTAGGTGGATTGAGTTGGGTTGCGCTGGGTCGGGTCGGGTCGGGTCGGGTTAGATTTACTTAAAGAGTAGCGATGACGCAGAGTGGCGAGAATTTTCTAAGGTCTTAGACCCTCCTCCAAACAATGTACAATAATTGTGATCTCAATTTCCATCCTCGGGAATACTAATACGTTGAATATATCAACACGAAACAATGGATTTCGACCAGCCTATGTCTGTTCCATACCCCAGACACTTCTCCCTGCAAATTTGGGTGAGGCTAGCCGCAAGTGTCTGGCCTCCAACTTACTGACGATAAACAAACATTATCTCTTCCAGTATAGATGTTTCCCCCGTGTTCTATATTTAAGTTCCAAGGACAATTCTCTATTATATATATATTCTTGAGTGCAGTTAGGTTTAATCTTCTCCTCTCCAGTGATTACGTAAGTGTAGTTACAAGATGTAGATTACGCTCGTCCCGTCTTCCACTATAAGCTTTGTCACATGACTCTCTCAACCTGTAATGTGTGTATGTGTTTAAACTAATCACCAATCACTGTTTGCAGGATCAGCCAAGCAAGTAATTACCAAAAGAAGGGACCAAGTCGGGGAGGCTCTGTAGCACCAAGGATCACCCAATCATATATCCACCTAAATGAGCTTACAGGTGGTTGTTGTTGAGCTACTCAGAACGAAGTGTACGTGTAGCACGGGTTATGGTGAACCCGTAAAGAGTGTGCAGGGGTCGAACATCCCCCCCTTAAGCTGCACGTACCCGTCTAAATATACGCGGTATTAAAGCAGCATACGGGAAGCTTCACCCCGACTGCCACACCTCCCCCGCGATGCGCCACGCCACCCTCCCAAGGTCGGTGTGTGTGTGCTGCTGCTACACTTGTGACTGGTATTCACCACGTGTGATACTCTGCTCCGTACTCCCGCTAAGAATACAGCCCCAACTTGCTCTGAGGGCCTCCATTGTGGGTGGGGGAGGGGTGCGTACTGGCCGGGGGGGGGGAGGGGTTGCGTACTGGCCGGGGGGGGGGAGAGGGGTTGCGTACTCGTCAGGGGAAGAGGGGTGCGTACAGGTCGGGGGGGGGGGGGGGTGCGTACTGGCCGGGGGGGGAGAGGGGTGCGTACTGGCCGGGGGGGGGGGGGGGTTGCGTACTCGTCAGGGGGGAGGGGTGCGTACTGGCCGGGGGGGGGGAGGGGTGCGTACTGGCCGGGGGGGGTGCGTACTCGTCAGGGGAAGAGGGGTGCGTACAGGTAGGGGGGGGGGGGGGTTGAAGGGGAACTATCAGGGGAAAGCACCAAGTCATTACGACTATATAGCACTGGGAAGGGGTCAGGATAAGGATTTGGGATGGGACGGGGGAAAGGAATGGTGCCCAATCACTTGGACGGTCGGGGATTGAACGCCGACCTGCATGACGCGAGAACGTACAACTTATGCTGGAAATACTTTTATCCCATCATGGTCCAGTGGGTTGTGGTGTCACTGGGGTCTACAGGGCTGCGGGTTCGACCCCCCATCGCATGGTTTTAATATTTTCTTATAGATCCATTACATTCGTGTGGTTATATTCTGTTTGTGACTCAACCCCGTCTTCTCTACTAATACGGCACATTTTGAGCACTATGGTCTCCAACGTACAAAATATGGGGTACTGTGGAAAGTGGCGACACGCAAATATTCCTTTTCTGTGCATAGGCTGGTTAGGTCACGTGGGGTAGCTTGTTCGTGCGTTTTAAGACCACATATTTTATCTATTGTGGAAAATCAATAGAACTATATGACTATTTTCACACTCATTGTTCACGTCTCTCCATAATGTCCTGTGTCTTGTATAATGAAATCACAAAGATATCATGTATTATGAGGAACTACTAAAGTTGTATGATGGGATCGAACTCGTGTCCCTGAAACTCGTCAGGTTTTGTTTCTTATTTACATTATATTATTCTACTTCATGTTAAATATAACTATTAATCTCCCAAGATGTGATACCGGATTGTTTTGAACTTCACAGATAACACGAAAGTTTATTTACACTCTCTGGAGCTATTTTATCTTCTAGAGACTCTAAGACAGACAGACACATGGTCGATCAGGCCACCTAGGGCAACATTCCAGACTTTTCTCAAGTGTTATCACCTTCTTATCACAGTCTCCCACCCTTTCTCCTCAACCCTCACTCGTGTCCTCCATAGTGGCCTTACCTACTTACACTTTAATTGTAAGTAGGCCTTACCTACTTACACTTTAATTGTAAGTAGGCCTTACCTACTTACACTTTAATTGTAAGTAGGCCTTACCTACTTACATTTTGATTGTAAGTAGGCCTTACCTACTTACATTTTGATTGTAAGTAGGCCTTACCTACTTACACTTTGATTGTAAGTAGGCTTCACCTACTTACACTTTGATTGTAAGTAGGCTTCACCTACTTACACTTTGATTGTAAGTAGGCTTCACCTACTTACACTTTGATTGTAAGTAGGCTTCACCTACTTACACTTTGATTGTAAGTAGGCTTCACCTACTTACACTTTGATTGGCCCCCCCCCTGTGATGATACAGGCGAATGAGGCGTTGTGGGTGCCAATCACAGGCACTCAGAGGGCAGAAAGCACTAGTATACAGCGTTATAACAGGTTTACAATAGAGCACTGGTTGTAAACCTGACGCTTCATGTTCCGTCATGTAACCCATTGTTATACTGCTGAAGGACAACACAATGCACCCATCCGACAGTGTGACATCATAATCTCCAGGATAGGCTGGGAGTTTGACACTTATGGCAGGTGGCTGCAGGTAATGGCCCCCAGCGGTGAACACTACAGTTGTTAACTATGTGAACAAGAGCTACTGGCACACAATTTCCAAAAAACAAGATTGTAATTTCAAAGCGTTATATGACAAAGAGTGCTGGGAAGACGGGACACCACGAGCGTAGCTCTCATCCTGTAACTACACTTAGGTAATTACACTTAGGTAATTACAAAGAAAACCGTTGTGGAAGCCATCTCCATCCACAACTTCAAGGTCAGATTCGACAAACAATTCGAACTCCACAATAGTTAAATTATTTCGCAACATGTACAAGGAGACGAGGCATAAAGAACTAGATCTCACTTCCCCAGACTGATTGATTGGTGAACATTAAGCCCCCAAGAGGCGGCACGGGCATGAATAGCCCGTAATCACTACCCGCCCCCCCCCCATAGACACTGATAGTTACCTGCTTGATGGGGCTCTGGGAGTTGTTCTACTCCCCAAGCGGGGGTGTGGGGAGGGAGGGGGGAGGCAACATTTGCGTCACCACTGTCAACACTGACCATTGCTCTCAAGGCCGCCACCTCCCCACCATCTCCCGGTAACCCCCTCCCACTCCACAAAACATCCCCCCACCCCACCTCACCCCCGTATACCGCAACAGGTTGTATAGCGCCCCCCCCCCCCGCCAACCCACTTAGGGAAGACGGGGTAAAGATGCTGGAAAGCTACAGGTGACAGAAAGGTTGGACAGATGGGTCATATAGTGTAGTGTCAGCCAGCGGCTGTCCGCCTTGCTGACACCCATCCTAACCTAACGAATTTAAACATTAAATTTGTGCTTTATATATGTAGTGGAGGAGGCGAGTGACGTCATCCCGCTACTAGTTGTATAGACTTATTCTGAAACAGAAAACTTACCAGACGCTGTAGATGGACGCTGGTGTTCGCTAGGACTGCTATCTTCACCTGAGGGAGTGACAAAGCTCACCTAGTAACCAAGACTGTACTTGTAGAGCCTGTTGCTGTTACTAAGATACTTGTGAGAACATACTGGAGGCACACGATGGGATCGAACCGGCGTCCCAGGCGTAAACAAACTGGCCTGGAACTCAAGGTACGGCCTCTTACCTCAGGTCGATTGTGGATGTCTACGTCCAGGGCGAACTGACACACCGTCATCCTCTTCTTTCTGATGACTGAGGGGAAAAAAATAAAACTACAGTAGTGTTAACAAATTGAGAAACTATAAAAAAAATTTCCTTTCTCCATAAAACACATACGAGAAAATCTTTTAAGCTCATCATGGTCTAGTAGGTAATGCTTGGGTCTGGGATGACCCAGGACGTTAGTTCAATCCCACCGCATAACTTCAATAGGTTTTGTCACATTTATTCATTCCAGCGTACAAATTACAACGTACTGTAAAACATAGCGGCTCACAAATATCGACGTTTTCTATGTATAGGTTGGTTAGGTTCGGTGGGTAGCTTGGGTTTGTGTGTTTCTGGTGAGGTTAGTACTTCCTGTTTTGTACGTTGTGGCAGATCAAGAGAACGTGCTCCGTACCCCACAGGTTCATAAGTAGATGCGTAAATGCTGGTTGAATCCTAGCCTTGGACTCCCCATTGCTCACACGCAGGTTCGATCCCCCCTGCATGACCTCAACATTTCTCACTGATACATGAGGTTGTTGTGACTGACTTGTGCACGGTGTGAACGTTATCATGCAGGAGTAGGCGCCTAGACTCACCCCCCCCCCCCCCCCCCCCACACACACACACATACACAGCGTGACCAAAGAGCCAGAGCTCAACCCTCGCAAACACAACTAGGTGAGTACAACTAGGTGAGTATACACACACACACACACACACACACACACACACACACACACACACACACACACACACACACAGGGGACACAGGTGGAAACTGAGTGCCCAAATGAGCCACAGAGATATTAGAAAGAACTTTTTTAGTGTCAGAGTGGTTGACAAATGGAATGCATTAGGAAGTGATGTGGTGGAGGCTGACTCCATACACAGTTTCAAGTGTAGCTATGATAGAGCCCGATAGGCTCATGAATCTGTACACCTGTTGATTGACGGTTGAGAGGCGGGACCAAAGAGCCAGAGCTCAATCCCCGCAAACACAACTAGGTGAGTACAACTAGGTGAGTACACACACACACACACACACACCTACCTCTCAACACTCAACCCACCCTCTCACTCAACACACTACATTTCTTACGCTATCCACCTCAACCTCAAAATTACGATGGTTTAGGGAATTAAAATCCGTGCAATAATGCCGCTTTCTGGGAGTAATGAGTATCAGCTCGGGTAGGCTGGGTGGGGTGTCTAGGTACTGATGATTCTGGATAGGGAAAAGTTGCAAGTTTTACAGAGTGACGCTCAAGAGAGGACCAGGACCATACCCTCAAGTGCCTGTATAAAATGGTTAAACCTGGATATGACACGAGAGGATCGAGAACCGAGAACCGACACCACACGAGAACCAGAAAACTATTTTTAATTGTGGTACAAAGACAAACTAACCTTCCTAGGCCTAATACACGATATATGAGGCTTAATATAGCACCTACGTGTGCTATATAAGGCCTAGGAATATTTAAGGTTTTTATTTATTCATTTTTGTTAAGAACGCCTTACTAGTCAGTATGCTACTATCTAAAAGCTAAGTACGAATTGGTGACTGTTGACGATGTGACAACAGGGACTATCTAACCAGGAGGATGGGTTGGCCGGGGAGGAATGTGCTCTTGCTGGAGAGCCAGTATGGCACTAGTGACGTCATACGCTTGGCTGTTGACATCTCCCTCCCCCCCCTCCCCCCTAAACACACACATGCACACTGCCCACAACGTTAAACAGATGGGTGCAGAATACTACATGAATATAAATGCCCTTTTTCACTATCTTAAAATATTTCCAGCTTTCCAGAATTAAACAAAGGTAGGGGATGGTAGGAGAATAAAGTGTTCAGGGAGAATCCGCAAGGACTTCGCTGAATACCCTTTATTCTCTTCTTGGAGGCGATGGGTCGCTACTTAAGTGTATTATTATAATAAGTGAACAAATTTATCATAGGTGATATAATTTATCATTTATAATATTCATCACTGACCCGAAAACATGAATGTTACGGTGCTTTAATCTGTACTAATACGTCGCATTTTAACGAACTGGTCGATTCCGTAAACAAATGTGACGTATTTGGTGAGGAAGAGGAGTTGCACCCCATACCCAGCAGGTGTACAGTCCTCCACAGCTGTCTTCTCGCAGATGTGATGAACAATGTCGTCTAGCTGTGTGACACTGGTCACAGCCTCGTCGTGTGAACTAGCAAGTTACCAAGAAGACATCAGGCCAGACGGGCTGACACAGCTGGTACCACCCCAGCTGAGGCAGACACAGCTGGTACCACCCCAGCTGAGGCAGACACCTGGTACCACCCCAGCTGAGGCAGACACACCTGGTACCACCCCCCAGCTGAGGCACACAGCTGGTGCCACCCCCAGCTGAGGCAGACACAGCTGGGGACCCGCCACGTGTGCCAACTGACAAGTGGTTATGCATGACACCTGTCAAGGTGTCGTGCATGACTCTGAAGATGAAGGATATCAATGTTGCCTTGATGCCAAGGGTATGACAGCTCGTTGGCACGGGCATTGGCAAGGATATTGGCAAGAGTCAAAATGAGAATATTTAAATCACGAAAAGTATCCCTGCAGATGACAGAGAAACACTCTTGACTGCCTATTCAGAAACTGTAAAAGGTTGCGAGCAAATGCCATGTGCTTGACACACACCTGACACACACACACACACACACACACACACACACACACACACACACACACACACACACACACACACACACACACACACACAGGTAGCCGGCACTCTGGTACAAGCGGAGACTGTACAACAAAAGGTGGCCACAGAACCTGAACCCAAAAAATACTAAAATGGAATAATATGGCAAATACAGTTATATATCAGTCTCACTAAACTGTCTAACTGAACAGTTACACAACTGACTAACAGATGTGTGACACATTTGCCTTAAACCAGCAAATAGAACAACCAACTAGGAAAGACCTGATTTTGACTGTAACAAATAAGAAACAGAAGAGAGAGAAAATGAGAGATTTGGGAAGGGGGAGAACAGCATAGAGAGAGGACGAGAGAGATGGAGAGTGAAGAAGAGTAGTCAGGTGAAAGGGAAAGTTTAGAGAAAGTGGGATGAAGGTTGGTCTTAGTAAGAGGGAGAGAGAGAGGTGGAGCCGTCACAAGAGAGGTAAACCAGTGGTGTCCAGGTGTATATTATGGGATATCCCTCTCGTTTTCATGCCCTGCCTCCTTTATAATGGTGTGGCTCTCATACTGTTGGTGCAGGTAGCTCGCACACCACCGCAGGCAACCACATACCGGTTGATCAGGTACTCTTTGGAGAGGGTTTAACAAAATCCATCTTGAAGGCATTCCAGCCTTTAATGCCAGAGATCTAAGTGATAATTTCCCTACTTGTAGATAGATATACTTATTCCATCTCTACTAATCCAGCCGCTCTCTCAATTTCCCACTGTAAAAAATGCAACCGTTTTGCCTAACCAGAAACGAATGAACCCGAGCAACCCACCTAACCTATCGAAGCCGAGATATACAAAACGTCATTATTACCGTGGTTTCCTTTTTACAAATGCGTCGCATTATGAACGGATTAGTTGATCTCGTAAAAAAATACGACGTATTAGATGAGAGGAGAGGTTATGAGCGATCACTGAGAGCTATTTTACCCCGAGTGCCACGCCTCCTCGTCTTCAAACTGGTGACATCCGTCATGTCTATCTGAGGATGGAGCTTTAAGGGATTTTGATTGACGAAAACAATAAAATCAAACTAGTTTGTTTACACTTTAAACTTGACTAATTCTGGTGGCGGGAGGTTAGGGAGGCTGAGAGCACACGTTCCCATGGCAACATCTCTCTCACCAGCCAGCCAGGCTCCAGTAAACACCTCACACACACACACACACACACACACACACACACACACACACACACACACACACACACACACACACACACACACACACACGCCAATACACTTCACCCTTCACTCACTTCTACACCAATATTTCCATGACAAACTAACACTCTCAATTAATATAATTACAAACATGCTTAAAAGTTACTTCGCCAAAATGTTTTGTGGATATGAAGTTAATTAACACATGTTTACCAAGATTGTTAACGTGTCATAGTCTAAATTTCATAATTTAATTCAATTTAGCGTTAAGATAAACAGGTAACATGGTTGAATACATCGTAATCCCCCCCCCACACACACACAGGTATTCACCAAACATCTACGTGTCCACTTACGAAACCTGTACATCTTTCAAGGCAAAGATGTACAGGTTTCCGAGGCATTATGAGGTTGTTTATAACAATAATAACAATGGGTGCTGAAGCTTCCCCAACTCGTAAACTGTTCAATAAATGTAAACACAGCCGCCATGATTAAGGGGAGAAGATGGACAGGTTTCGTAAATGGTTGCATAAATGTTTGATGAACCGTGGCCCAGGAGAGGGAGGGGGAGGGAGGGACACGTGGCCACTTTCACTGGGCAGGGAGGGAACGGTTGGGCACGTGCCCGCCCTCTCACTTCCACACCCCCACCAACCACACATTATACAGCCTGGTCTCACCTGAAGACAGAACCCGGCACTACTAGTAACACTGCTAATGCCACAATATAATAATAATAATAATATTAAGTGTGTGTGTGTGTGTGTGTGTGTGTGTGTGTGTGTGTGTGTGTGTGTGTGTGTGTGTGTGTGTGTGCTGGGTACATACCCAGTACAGAAGGAACATAAACTACCAGGAATAACTCACACTGCATGTGCCAGCAGCGCCAGATGACGTTGTTAAGGCGAATCTTGTCCTTCCAGCGTAGTTTGAGGCCCTTGAAGCGGTTCCACTTGGGTGAGGTAATCTTGTGCCTGCCCGGGGGAGGGGGAAACAAACACACGTACATTAGTCACACCTCCATTAGCTGGCCATCAGCTGTTTGCACAGCTGTTTATTTTATACCTTGGTTCCCCACCCGTGTGTGTGTGTGTGTGTGTGTGTGTGTGTGTGTGTGTGTGTGTGTGTGTGTGTGTGTGTGTGTGTGTGTGTGTGTGTGTGTGTGTGTGGTGAGCAGGTTGTTCACCCCATGTATACTTTGGACTTAAGATATCTCCAATAAGAGGGGAACCTTAGTGGAGGTGGTGCTGTACTTCCTACACCACCTTGGGTTCACATCGCGTGAACCCAAAGCCCGCTAAATTCCAATGTCCTCGGCTACACTGGCTAAGTTGGGGGAACATACGAACTGCCTTCAGAAGTGACGCGGGGGGGATTGTTAAGGACTTTGTATAGCACTTTGTATACGGGTATACTATCTCTGGGGGGTTGTAGTCACCTACAGTATGGGTGTGTATGTGAGTGCAGTTACACATGAGTGTATCCTGTGGGTATAGTCACATATGGGTCCATGTGTAGGGTACTAGTCACCTATGGGTGTATCTGTGGGTGTAGTTGGGTGTACAGTGGTCAGAGGTGAGAGATAATAGGAGGGTGATAAAGTGACGTCCTGCATGATACTATCACAGTGGGCGGCCAGCACCACAAGTGTACCAGGGATGCTTCTCATCGTGTGTTTAACACCACAAGTGCCACCACCACCACCGCTGCCCCCCCACCATACACCCCACACACACACGCACAATCAAATAAGAATGAAAATGTCAGTGAACGACCATATGACTAGGATACGAAAAAGAGGAAGTGAATATACAGGAAATGATAAAATTTGTGAAGAACTTAATGTCAGCTTCCACGGAGTGTTCACAACTGAACCTGAACAGCTCACTTTGCTAGAAGAGGTGATTACCCAAGACGAGACACTATTAAATATTGAGGCAGCAGCAGCAGCACAGACCCTCAGCATACCACTTGCACCGAGCTTTAATGAGTTACTTACAAAGGAAGACTTGCCCAGCTGCTGGAAGAAGGCAAATGTGGCATCAATTTACAAGAAAGGAGAGAGAGAGAGAATAAAAAATCATATGCCTGCTAGAAACACTGAATAATAAAGCGTTTTACAAAAGGACCTAGTAGGAAAAGAGTGAAACTTAGGAGGAAAACATGTACAAGATCAAATGTAGCCACTATGTAGGATAGAAAATTGGCTAAGCTTCTTCACCTATAGTGTTATAAACCCATAGAAGCGCCTGTCCACCGAAGCCGTAAATGTCAGGGTGTCTAGTTTACAATTCAGCTGAAAAAATCCCGAGTATTAGCGAGAACATTTGACAAGTTGTACAGGAAATCTGTATATTTCACCCACATAAAATACAGGTTGGACGGACATAATTACTTAAGGTATTAAATTATAGGTATAATTACACTTGACCTTACTACTACGTCCAACCTTCCAATGGTAAAATTGCTCGTTAACACTGCACTGACCGCGAGCTCTCTTCAAAGTGTATACATGGACGTCATACGTCAACTCGGTGGCAGTTTAGGTGGTGGTGGTGGTCAGGAATGTACTTGGACTGTATCTGCACGAGTTTCTGGGAGTTCTTCTAGTCCCCAAGCCCGACCCGGGGGCCAGACTCGCGAGAGTTTGCTACAATAGGCTGTTGCTACATACGAGCCAAAAGTGACGTTATTTTTAAGAGGACGGGTTGTGGTTGCTTGGAGCGGCCCGAAGGCCCACATATCCCTACAACCTGGTTGGTCCGGTACTTTTTGCAGAAAACTCACTGGAGAACACTAGAAACCCTCCTCAGTGTACAACTGGCATGCTTACAAGATCTTAGAAACACCAGGGATATTCTACACAGCCATCCAGACTCGTAAGTGATTACTACACTAGCACCGCCATCTTAAGCTGATGCACAGTGCACCCAACAACCACAAGCTTCGTCATACCTGCTCCGAGGTGCACTCAACGAGCCTTATTGCTATGCTAAGTGAGGCAAGAGCCACGTTAAGACAGGGCTACCACTTACACTGCCTCACCCTCAGTAGCTATAGCCCTCCCATCTTGGAAAAAGAAAGGCCTTCCAAATCTCATTTTATATTAATTATTATATGCATTTGAGTAAAGACTTCATTATAATTTACGCTGTAGCATCATAGGAAGGCGAGCAGAGATGTTGCCTTACTGAAACCACCATAGATATTAATAAACATTTGTAATTATTGATTACAATTTATCCCTAAAGAAATTTAGTAAGGTTATATACAGCCCCTTTAGAGGGACGAAAGATAAAGAATCCTGATGGAAAATGGATTAGGTTGATGGTAATCTTGACGGAACAATACGGAGCCAATCAAATTGCTTTTATTGCATGTCTTTCTTAGCTCACAAGCTGCCGGCTTTCTGTCCCCGTCGAGGCCACTAGTGGACTTAAGGGAATTGCAGAAGACTGAATTGCAGCCTCGTTTAGCCTACTGGCTAAACGAGGCAGCACCTTTGGGTGAATATAAATAATAACGGCCTCGTATGGGCCACTAAGCCTCCTGCAGTGTCCTTAATTTTTATGTTCTTAAATAGTGGCCGACAGGTAAATTCTCTTATACACAATTACCTTTCATGGCTGCCAATGTCATGAGAGGTTGAACCCTGCATGAGTTTGTACCTTGGGGCAGGCGGTGGGTCGGGCCCTCCTAGCCATTCATTATGGCCTTACATGGGGTCAATACCCGGGTCAATATCCCACCTCCAGGGAGGCGGCGGCGGTGGAGGACACCCCACAGGTAGAACACGTGTTGCAGGTCGTGTTGACCACGTGGTGCAAGTCGTGTTGACCACATGCGCCTGTGTGTCTCCCCTGGTGAGGCGGTCCCCGCTCACTACCACCATCCCACCTTCGCCCACACAGTGTTAACACTTTACACTCAGGTCTATGCACTATAATATACCGGTCTATATGATAATATACATAAATATGCCTATTTATTGCCTGTCTCTACCTCCTCTTCACAATCGACTTGAGAATGGTCCAGGACGGACCGAAACGTCGTCGTCCCTTCACCTTCTAGTGTGTGGTCTGATCAACATACTTCAGTCACGTTATTGTGACTCATCGCCTGCCTCATAATGTGCTCTTAACCTGCATGTGAGTTTGTACCATCATGTGCGTGCATGCGCGCGCACACGTACAAAAACATTTTAGGCATACATTTTGGTTCAGTGATACCAATTGTTGTGAAAGTGTAGTTTGTTGTTAATGTACCAAAATGAAGGTTGTAAACTCTAAGGTGTGGTCAGATTGTTTGGTTATACCCCAGGGAGTGTGTGTGGGGGTAGTATAGTCTGTATTGTTATACCCCAGGGAGTGTGTGTGGGGGTAGTATAGTCTGTATTGTTATACTTGTTTGTCCACCCAGTGGAAAAATACAGCGGGGGGGGGGGTATCCACGCGCGCGTGTGTGTGTGTGTGTGTGTGTGTGTACTCACGTAGTTGTACTCACCTAGTTGTGCTTGCGGGGGTTGAGCTTTGGCTCTTTGGTCCCGCCTCTCAACTGTCAATCAACTGGTGTACAGATTCCTGAGCCTATTGGGCTCTATCATATCTACATTTGAAACTGTGTATAGAGTCAGCCTCCACCACATCACTGCCTAATGCATTCCATTTACTAACTACTCTGACACTGAAAAAGTTCTTTCTAATGTCTCTGTGGCTCATTTGGGTACTCAGCTTCCATCTGTCCCCCCCCCCCTTGTTCGTGTTCCATCCATGTCACATAGTTTGTCTTTGCCCACCCTGTCAATTCCCCTGAGAATTTTGTAGGTGGTGATCATGTCTTCCCGAGCTCTACTAACAGTGACGTGAGGTGCAGTTCACGCAGCCTCTCCTCGTAACTCATGCCTCTTAGTTCTGGGACTAGCCTAGTGGCATACCCCTGAAGTTTTTCCAGCTTCGTCTTGTGCTTGACAAGGTACGGGCTCCATGCTGGGGCGGCGTGTGGGTGCCTGTGTGGCACCCAACACGCGGTGTTTGTGTTGGGGGGGGGGAAGAGATGGGGAGGATGATAAGGGGAGTGTAAAGGAACCATTGATTACTACCTGAGAGCTAATGGACCGTCAGCCGTGACACCCGCCCACAAAGGGCACCTCGCTCTTGCTCAATTATTGAAGGAGGAAGAACACCTTTAATGGGCAAGACCAAAAATAACAAGGACATGACAGGAGATATAACTAGGACATGAGAGAACAAATAAGATGAGAAGAGAAATGACAAGATATGAGAGAGAGAGAGAGAGAGAGAGAGAGAGAGAGAGAGAGAGAGAGAGAGAGAGAGAGAGAGAGAGAGAGAGAGAGAGAGAGAGAGAGAGACCACCAAGGTCAGCACAAGAGGCCCAACAGAGCACAAAAGGTCACCTACACGGAGACGCAGCCCCGTGTGGTCTCCTTCCGTGTCCTACTTACTACCCGCCACTCACTAACTCGTGACCACCGAATCACCTTCTGTGGTTGAGTGTTCAATAAACCCCTGAACTATATGTTTAACACTTCTCTAACCCTGTCAATGGAGGACAGAAGAAAATGTATATATGCTGGTTAGCATTGTAAATGTGTGGCCACGTCTGTGGTAGAAAAATAATAATTAAAACAAAAAAAAGTGAGCACACGTAACACACATTCACTTGTACGATATAGACACCAGCGGACAAACTCGGCTGGTGTAAGGCGCCCTCAAGTTGGACACTTTCTCACACTAACGAGCATGGGGTTTCTCACACAGCTAGGGGCTGAAATATACCTCAAGGGAAGGCGATGAGTCACAATAACGCGCCTTAAGTATGTTGACCAATCCACACACTGGAAAATGAAGGGACGACGACGTTTCGGTCCGTCCTGGACCATTCTCACAATCCACTTTAGAATGGTCCAGGACGGGCCGAAACGTCGTCGTCCCTTCATTTTCTAGTGTGTGGATTG